GGCCGCGCAGCAACCTGGCGAGGCACCCGGCGAGCAGAGGGTTACCCTGCAGCGCAGTGCCGACTGGGCCTCCCAGCCGCCCACCGCCTCCGTTGGCCGCATGCCGGGACCCCGGGTTATTTCTGCAGTTGCTCTCAGGCGCGCACCTTTCTCCCTCTTTCCCCAGATTCCTTCTCGGAATGGGTCCTCCTTCCGCCTCTGCGGTGGCTGGGCTGGTTCCCCTCCTAGCTAGGGCTCACGAGTGAGTCAGGGGTCTAGCTTGGCCTCGCCCTTTGCCTCCCATAGACAGATCCCTGGGTGCCAGTCGGTTGCTCTGGCTGAAGCCTAAACATCCACAGCCTGCGATCACCTTGGGGGACCTGTCCCAGGTCCCACCCTGAAGCTGTGACTGGCCTCCTTACTGTGTGATCCGTCCCGCACTGCGCGCTCTGGGCTTCTCTGGAAGTGACGCAGCGCGGCCAGGGGTTGGGAGAGGAGGGGGCTCTGCAGAGAGCGCGGGAGGCAGGTGGCAGAGCGAGAGTGGGTCCGAGCGGGTGCTGCACACACGCACTCCACACATTGCTCAGGGACAGATGTGTGAACATCTGGGGCAGGAGCTGTCCTCGAGTATTCACAACGGCTCGCTCTCCGCACGGCACACGGAACCTTAAGTTTGTGTGTGTGGGGGGCACGAGGGTGTGTGGGGTGTGTGCCAATGTGCGCGCACTCGCGCGCCAGGGCCTACTGGAGTCCGCGCCTGAATACACAATACACCGTGGGCATCCTCACGGCGCGCGTACTCGTGCGCGCACACACAGAGCAAATCGCACGAACATACATAATTTACGCAGGATCCAGGTCTCTGAGAGGTAATTTAATTTCGCTTTAAGCTGGGAATTTAAAATTAAGGCAAGAAGAAATGAGGGGCCCGGAAAATCTCTTCCAGTAGGACCTGGACCCAGCCCTTTGGATAGGATTTGCAGCTGTCGGTAGACCAGTTATGGTAGGGAAGAAGGTGCGAATGGCTGGATTTGGGTGGCAAATGCATTCATCAATCTTCCTCCTCAGAAAACAAAACCACAATCCAAACACCCAGGCTTAAAGTGGCTGTGTATGTGTTTGGGGAAGGGGTGAGAAGCAGCCTGCAGGCGCGAAGCTCCCCCTTTAGGGCACGCTATCCTTGTGGGGCGCCTCGGGAGGCTGCCGGAAGCTAGCCCTACCTCTGAGGCCATCATCTTTGAAGTGCTCTGGGGGTAAAGGTGCTTATTTTCTCTCTCCCCTTTTCCGATTTCCTGCAAAGATAGTTTCCCCACCCCCAATCACCTGTAGCAGCTACTAAGAGTTTTGTTGTAAGATTCCAGGCACTGACTCAGAGAGGAGAGAAGCTCACCCAGGACAGTGGTCCCAGGAAAGAAGGACTAGCCCCACTGGATCCCTGGAAACCAGAGACCCCTTGCCACTCCCCACACATGCTGGCTCCTCACGGTTCTGGGCCTCCCGTGCTGGTCTCCGCAGTCTGTGTCCATGCACCCTTTTTGGCAGGAGTTGAGAACAAATTCCACTCAAAAGTTTCTAACCACTTCACAGGGATGAGAGACCTTCGAGGGCCATGCCGTTTGTTTTAGCTAATAACAATCTCAAAAGAACATGATCTACTTTCCCAGAAAACACAGGGATGCAGGGAGGACAGCGGGGACCACCAACTGCCTCAGTTGCCAGCAGCGCCCAGGGGACGGCTCCTATCTCAGCTGCAAGCCAACTTTGCTCCACCAGCCTGAGCCCTGTGAGTTCCAGGCGTATCCATCCATTCCGCAAAGAATCTACAGCATTTGAAAACCAAAGCTACTCTTGTCTTTTCCAAGCCCTTCGGTTAACATTGCTCAATGTAGCTAAGTGGAGGGAATGTAAATGATTTATATTTCACTGGCTAGGTTGAAGAAACTCAAGGGAGATGTGTTCTGCTTCAAGACAGGAAAAAAAAAATCCCCCAAAACTGTAATGCAAAGGCTTTGTAGTATTTTTAAACCTTTGATTCAGTCCATATGTGACATCTGAACACCGCCAAATTCTGTTACAACACACACACACACACACACACACACACACGCACGCACACTCCTAGCAGGAGAGAAAAGTTGGGTTTTAGCAGCCCTTATGTGTAGGGAGGCCCGGCTAGGATCTCGCTTTAAATTATTGAGTATCGAGAGAGCCTCCTCCTGAGCCAGTCTGCGTGGCCTCCCCGCATTAGCAGTCGCTTTTAAGGGGAAACCATGTTGAAATGAATAGGAAAAACTTTGAGATGCTTACCTGGTTGGCCTCTCACTTCATCTCCTGAAAAGTAGAGAGCTAAGAAAACCCAGGTGAGAGGAAACAGATCCATTTTGGAGAAGGAGGCTTTCTCCAGGGCTAGGTCTGTAGGATTCTCGTGTAATTATAAGTCTTTGTTTTTTTAATTTTTAAAAAATTTCCCCTGTCTCTTATTTTCTTCCTCGCAGGGTCTTCTGAAAAGGTCTCTAACGGTCAGGGTTTCCCTCCAGGGTTCTGGCGACCCGCCTTCACCTTTATTCTTGCTGAAATCCGCACCTCACTAGGAGGAGTGTAGCTCTTGAAATCAGCGAAGGGTTAGAAAGGGTTTTCTCTCAAAAAACAAAACGCATCTACGCTTTCTCCAATTTCTCAAAGTGTCATTTCCTTTATCTTAAAACATCACGAGTATTTCCCGAAAGCCAAGCGTAAAATAATAACGATAATAAAAATCAAAGCCACGACTTGCCCTGGGCATCACACGGCCCCCAGGCAGCTGTGCGATCTCAGAGGCGTAAACTGATACCCGCTCTCCGGCACCCGGGACGGACTCGCGGACAGGCACCGATCGCCGGACGGCCCGGGTGGGAGGCGGTCGCCGGCTCCCGTCCTTGCTAGGTTCCCCTAGCGGGAGCCTCTCCCAAAACTACACCCGTTCAGCCAGCCTCTCGAGGAGAGTCTGCGGAAGGAAGCTGAGGCGGCGGCTGCTAACGCTGGCTGCCGACGCGGCGGCTGTGCCGGGATCGCCAGGGAGAGCGCGCCCCTCTCCGAGTCCTCTGACGCCCGCCCTCACCTCCACCTCGCCGAGGGGCTGCGCATCTGAGGATGTGCTGGGGGCGGGCTGCGGGCCGGTGCCTCGCTCGCCTTCTCTGCCTCCCCTACGGCTCCCCCCCGCCTTTTCAGGCAGAGC